CTTTGTGTTACTAAGGGCACAAAAGCCTGAAATAGATAAATCCATGGCGACCCGAACCTGTCATTGGCCTCAACTAGAAACTGATTGAAGTGTCGCTGGTATAATGAAAGAAGAAAAAGTTGTTTAATATCAACTGCTAGCTCACCCTGAAGATGATATCAAGAGATATCCTCGCAGAAAGTTCAAGGTATTTCCGCAGAATTTATTACATTTAATATGGGTATACCTTTTGCATCGAATGTTGTTGAATATCGGTAGGGGAAGCCCATGAAGAAAGAAATAATGATGGCGGACATGTACAGTCATATTGCAAATTCAGCCAAATCCCTTTCCCATATGTTTTGTGCGGTATCCTTTGCCTAGAGGTAAAAAATAAGGTTATTTCACTTAAACCTAACTACTAACGCTTGGAATTTTCGAGCCCCAAAAATTCTTAAACGGATTTATATCGATGCGCGGGGAGTAACCAATCTGCTTGATTTCATGCTTTGAGTTAAAAAGGCATTGACCTTCATGTCAAACTTTTCTTTTTAACATTCTCTCAATTCTTTACTCCTTCGCTTCTGTTTTGGTGGAGTTTTTCCAACAATACCTGGATTTTCTGAACCTCTAGTCACTATATTTCTATTTTGCAGAGATCTTATTTTAATAAATCAATAGACCAATATCGGAACAGTAAAATCTAACAGAACTTTAAAGAATAAATTTGTAACTGCTACGCAATTCATGTTGTAATCGGATGGCTCTGGTTATTGAGATAAAAAAAACTTCTTACTGATGAAAATACTGATGAAATACGTCCCTGAATATGAAGACAAATAATCGCGAAAGTTTGAAATGTTTCGCGTTATATGGAAATGAAACAGCGAGCGAGCTGCTGCCGTGGGTGTTTCGATTTCGGAACCTTAATTAAAATCTCGACCAGGATGGTTTTGTGACGTATTTTAATTAAGAGACAAAGCCATTATTAGAACAAACCAAAGCAAAGAAGGGAAATTAACGCAGCAAACTTATCTTCATTAAAAAGATGCTATTTTAAAATACTGTGGGGATGGAAATGCAAGTCAGCTGGCGATTGACTTGACGGTTTTCCTGTTTGTACCATGTTTCTCTAAAAGACGTGCCTGCTAACAACGCTAAAAGGAACAAATAGCCATGTTTGATGATTGTTTAGTTTTCTATGCTTCTTCTGTTCGGACTTAGTTCTTATAAGTACAAGTATTTTTCCCCGCTAAGGCAAACACCAAAGTGGCTCCCTAGTACCGACAACGACCTTGAGTATTGTGACGAGATGTATGTACATTTCCGAGTCACTCAAGGGGCGTGTTTTCAGTTCCTTTACTCCTGATACATTCAGTAATAGGCCAACCATTTTTGTATGGTGGAATATATTAATTATGTAAGTAAGATCTTTTGGATAGGCAAACCTCAACAAATCTTGACAAACGGAATCGTGCGGATAGAGCGTTTGGCTTGGTTTGCGCAGGTTTGCAAGCGCTTGTAGCCGATCCGACCGATTGTCGGGCTTGTCACTAGAGTTGTTGATTCTCGTTACTTCTGAGTATTCGTTACTAATCATTAATCTTCTACAAAGTAATTATTTACTGTATTCGTTATATTGATTATTATGTATGGGTAAATAAAATTTGCAATTTTTTAATCATAATTTATTCAAATCTGCCGTGATTGAAGCAAAGACCGTAACTTCATATATGCAAAACGAGATGGGTTATTATAGAATAGTGTCATATGACTCATATGTGCCTAAAAACTGAAAATAGTTGATATTTACTAGAAACGCTCCAAAAGCGGTAGTTCGAAAGTTGATCGGTATATGAGCTTGAGGAAATTCGGAATGGCAAGTGAGTTTTCGAAGCTATGTGCATTTCAGTTAAGCATGTACCAGTATAAAAAAAATATGTGGAGCTTACACATAGTACCCAGATGTCTGGCAAGACTGATGCAGGAGCGACTGTGCAGCAGTGGTACCTAAGATGGTAGAAACCAGCGTTGTCACTCAACGATTGCACGCCTACGGGTACGGAAAACTGAGTAATCGAACTAATCATTTGGTGCTCGGATTGTTACTCGTTACTTCGGCACGGTTATCACGTATCTTGAAAAGTGATATTATGCCGATTTTTTTTTGACATTATGTAGGTTTTTCGCCAAGACGTTGACTTAGCACTTAGTTGTACGTGTTGCCTAAACGTCATGAGGCTTGTTATCAATCTTTGGCTCTGATGTGATGTAAAATCTGCTTCTGAGATGGCATTACTGGAGGTGTAAGCTGTAACTTGTATGTGTTGATGATAATTACATTGGGTTCTTGTCTCAAATACACTTAATTGAGATTCAAAGCTAGAAATTAGTTGCGCATCCACTTTTTCTTATCCATTCTGGAAATTACATATACGAATTTGTTGAATTTCAAAAATGAGGGAGATAAGAAATAATTATATTCACTGTACACTGTCGAATTACAAGCCATATACATGCTAATAGTAATTACAGACACCGCGGCCGCGGCGATGATTTCCCGTAATTCTCCTCAGTTTTTCGTAATTTATAACTTTGAACATAACCTCTCTTCAGAAAGCACAACATATAAATAACCCGTCTATTCAGCATATTCAGTAATGATTTTCTCACACAGCAAATATCACTGATTCTATACACATGCAGATCAATACACATAATCATCCAGATGCGATCTTGTTATTCAACCAACTTTCTTCTCAGAGATAAAAACTACAGACACGGATCATTCAGCCTCACAAAGCTGTGCAACCAGTAATGCGTGTATAGTTCAGTTGAGTGATTCCTTCATAGATGGACGTTCACAACGATCCTAGTGAGCAAACGTGGAATCACCGTTTGCGCCCTAAAAACTACCTAGACTGCAAGTTGACATGTTATAGGTTTTTTTGACGTTTTGTAGGTTTTTAACATGATACCCGTGGGTATCTATGAGTCACGAGTACTCGAGTAACCAATAGTTACTTTTTAAACAGCTCTACTTGTGAGGAGCCCACATGTTTGTGCATCTTCAGTCTCGCTTATGCACTCATGGCGAATTAAGTTTGCTCAGTAATAATATAGATCCAGCTGACATCTGGTGTTGTACAACTGAACTGAATTTTAATCTGCTTAACTCGGTACTAAGGGCCGTATCGTCAGTCGTTCGTACAATTGTAGGACGTCTTTATGGCCTCCTTGATGTTCATAGTTTTCTACTGTTCCGTGTCAGCGCTCTATTTTGAGGTTATGCTACAAATATCTATTGTGCATTAAATTGTTCATGCGTTTGATTTCTATCATCTGTTATCTATTAATCTATTATAGAAATATCCCAGTTTTTCTGACGCACAGAAAAGACTATCAAAATCAATAAGGCCATAAAGGCGTCTTACAATTGTAGGAGCGACTGACGATATGGCCCTAACTTACTAAGAGAAGTTACGGTTTGGAACGGCATTATATATGGTATCAAGTCACCTTTTCTTAAGAGGCTGTTTGACGGTGTAACAGTAGATCCACTAGCACCGCAGCCTCATTTCTTACCATTTATCCTAAAGCTTTACAACCCTATATTCTCTCTCAGAAGCATAATCCGAAGTTTGGACGATGATACATGACATCCTGGCAATGACAAATGTTCTTACTTCAAAATGTAATCATGCCTTTCTTTACCTATGTCTAACTGTATATCAAATTGCACCCACATTAAACCATTTTTACTGGGAGTTCTATTTTATTTGCTACTGAGTATATGTTACATTCTCCACTATCAGCGCTAAATCGCGGTATACAATATCGGAGAAGTGAACACATGTAAGTGCCTTATTGTCGGAAAATTACTGCACTAGCGTAAACTGCTCCGTTCAAAGTACCATCTATTTTATGGCTTAAATATCGTTTGAAATCGCAGACGCAGGCATCCGCAATGGGAACGGTAACTGGAACTGGAAGAGAAACGGGGACGGCAGCGGAATGGCTGGTTGCAACACATGGCGCTCTCTTCATATTCCCGCAGGCCGTGGTCGTTTGATAAGAACCCCCTCTCTTCCTTTATTCCATCTCCATGTCTTCGGATACGTCGGTATCTCCGGTATAAGTGAGAATTTATGATTGGATTGTTACTGAAGCAAATATCTTTGAATTTTATTCACGATACTATGTTTTAACGGTCCTACCATTAGCGCCCTTATAGCAAAATTCGGAGAGGTCAGGTTAGGCTTACAGGCACAGCCAATTAGTTTGAAGCATAATTGCTAGATGTTTAAAACAGTGGAAGAGATATGATGAGTAAAAAAACACACGCCACTGGTCCAAGAAGCGGGTACCCTATTAAGAATAATTTACTCTTCATGCAGAAACCAGGCGAAGGAATATGCCCCCCTTGCTCCAGTGTTGGGCGTCCATATACCATACCGTTCCTGAAATTCTTCCATCCTCATCACTATGTATATGAAAACAAAGAAGATTCTATGGCCTTGACAACAATATCTACGTGCCCAATAATTCCTGTTTCTTCTCCCTACTATTTTTTTGGTCAAGACACAAATAACATATAGCAATTTTCGTTTTCTAATGATGTGAATTGAGAGCACCTTGTGCTGAATATAACTGTGTGTTTGCCTAATTAGCCACAGTGAAACTCCCCATTGCCTTGCCGCGACTTAGTCATAGGCTGAGCTTTGTAGAGACTTACTTATATCTACACATCAATCTCTATCATCTAGGGCTACACTAATTTCGCTAGTCTTGCCTACTACACCTAGACCTACATCACCAGGTAACTCCAGATCAATGATTTGAGAGCCTTGATCTCCTAGACTTGGCTGTATGGAGGTCAAGGAGAAACTTCTTAGCTTGCCAAGCGAAAACATAAAGCCTTGGCTTGTAAAGATTGGTTAATATTGCTCTGTATCATTTATGTGCCAAAAAATTGCTTATAATTTAATTTAACTACATAATTGTTTTTATTGAAATTGTAACCGAAACGCTATTGGTAGATAAGATTTATTCGATTTTCTTGGTTATTGTTTGCTGAATTCCAACTTATTCTGTTCTATCTTCTCTCCAGTCACCATGCCGTTGTCAACTTTTGCCACGTACTTTGTATTAGCCAGGGTGTTGTTGATAATGATTTGCGGAAAGTGAACTGTGACACGAACTTGGAATTTAAGGGCTAAAATAGATTAACGGTAAAAGGTGTAAATAACAATGAAAAATACTTTAGTCTTTTTATATACTGTTACAATGGATGGTTGAAAGGCCGGACAAAAGTCATATTGGAGATTATCAACTATTTAATAAATCCATCCTGAGTACCAAAGTGTAGCAGACTGAATGATTTGCAGAGTATCGCCCGGAATATTGTAGTGCTCTTCGCTTTCATAAATTACCTTGCATTTCTCAAAAAGGTTTTTCTAAAGCACTTGCATCAGTGGCGTTCGTGCCGGCAATTTCCAATGTTTTCCAAAAAACATCATTATGTTAAAGCCAGGTCGATTTACTTAAAAGACCGCCCCCTTCGAGTTTTTCACTTAGGTCCACCCTCTTAAAAATAAATATACTTTCATTAACAAATACGTCAGTCTTTTATAGTTACATACAATAACACAAAATTCCTAGAATTGCAGCGATTCAAGCTACAGTCAGAGCAACGATATCTGGTGCGATACCTTAAATTTCACTTTCACAATTTCATTACATATATTTTTAGTACACTTTATCGGTATCCCATACAAAGAAAGGGGCAGCAACACTAACATACTGTGATAGACAAACACAGCATTTTGAGCTGTCGACTACTCGTATAAACGGTACGTGGTGGTATGCGAATAATGTCAAGTTGCAAGGTTGGCAGCAGTGAGATCGCGATTGGCCGTATCCTCGCGATCTATTCACAAGATCGCATCTTAGACACCACTCTCTCCTTGCAGATGGTAAGGATGTACCCAGATGGGCGATTTGGAATTTTATATTTAGATCAAAAAACGTCGTATGATGAGAGAAGTAATCGTTCGACACGAACGAATTCTGACTAGATAAAAGGAAAACGCATGATATTTCTTTTGATTCACGGAATCCTAGACAGCACCCAGGGTGCAATTGCATTCTTAAAATCTATCAGGCCCAACGAATTCAAATAGGTTAGAAGGAGCCAAGCTTATATGTTTACATTGCATTGTTTGCCGCCAAAAGTGCGTAGTTATAGTGCATACTTTTGACTGATTTGACTACCAATGCCAACCAAAGTGACAGCGCTATATCAACATGATAATTATACTTACCGGTGAAAACACCTATCTTCATGAGACGTGTGGCGCTCTTTGTTAAGTTATGTAGGAAGTACCATGCCTTGAAATAGTCTAACACCACAATTATTTGCCAACACTTACATTTTTAAGAAATAACACTAAACATGGAAGTTTAATCATAGAATTATGCAATTGATTTATGTCAAGTGCATTTTGATCCTCACTGCATACTATGAGAATTAGGAGACAAACAGATCCTTGACTGATGCCTAAAACGCCAGCTTGACAGTTGTTGACATTCCGCATTAGATTCGTGTTTTTCTGCGAAAACGTATAGAAGTGCGTGGGTCTCCAAATAGTTCTAGTGTTCCAGGTAATTTACAAATATGGTAAAGTTTTCTGGGGACTGTAAAAAGCAGTTCAAGCTTCTTCATCGGTGATTAAATAGACTAGTCCTAGTTATAAACCGAAGTTGTTGTCTAGACAAAGACAGGTAGTTTTATGACATCTAGGATATCTGAGGAATTCCTTAGCGAGTGACCAGCCCGATGTGTCATCCCACATGCTCTTGAAGATTATGACGGTATGTTGTTTCAGTAGAGTTGTCATGGCTCTGATGGGCAAAATACAGAGGGATACTTGACTCAGAACTCTGGTTTCAGCAGCCAGTCTATCAGCTGTAGTATTACCCTTGAATTGTGAATGACCTAATGATGTACTTTATCTCTGTTTGAACAACACATCACAAAAAAGATAGTATACCATGCTGCATGAGAATATAACCAGTACAGTTGGATATAGGAATATCATTTCCAAAGAACTGGTTTGGCCATTTGGTAGACATTGGTAATTTTGGAGACAAGCTCTGCCTGGTAAACATATAGCTCATTATAACCTGTTTGAACTCGTTGTTTGATACCGATACATTGAAGAGGTGTGCACCAAAGCTAAAACTGTATAAAAGCTGACAGCTTAGCGATTGCGACTGACAGTCATCGAGAAGTGCATTAACAAAATACTTCTGCAGTATCTCCATCAACATCACTTGTTTAACGACATATGTGTAAACCAGAGCAATCACGGATTTTCTAACTTTTGCCTAATATTAGAGAAGTAAGTCAACACAATTTAGTGATGAGACTGAGTTTTTTTTATTCAAATATAATTACAATTTTATATTGTCATTCTCAATGTAGCTTACCTCTGAAACTACAGAGCGCCGGAGACGGTACTTCCATTCATCATAGCAGTGCTGGAACTCCGATACTAGAATAGCCTTCAGCTGGTCAGTTGCAGCCGTTTGAATGTTTTCGACTGCATCAAAATGAGTTCCCTTGATGTGATTTTTCAACTTCGGGAAGAGACAAAAGCCACAAAAACTCATGTCAGACGAAAAAGGAGGCTGAGGAGCCAGGAGCCACAGGAATGTCCTTTCTGGCCAAAAACTCGTTTATTGACATTGCTGCGTGATAAGGATGTTTATCGTGATACAACACACACTATTTTTGATCTGGTGAACGGTGAAGTGAGTCAAAGTTAACTCTTCCTCGATCATTCTGTCTGCTAACCGATGATCTGATCGCACAAGATCAAGGATTCGGTTGATATATTCATTGGTGGTGCAAGGTGAAGGCCTTGCGCTTCGTGGATCATCTTCATTTGACTCTCGTCGCTCTGAAAATGCCTTAAATCACCGAAAAACCTGGGTTCTTGACAAAATACTATGTTCGAAAGCATGCTGATAGCACACCGTTGCTGAAAATTGATGTCACTCATTTTTAGCACACGGATCAGATATTATTTAACAGATTTTTTTCTTTACCGTACAATTTTCACGTTATAATGGGTGATTTTTTTGCTAGTATCTTTTTGGCAACACTGTTTTCGACAGATGACGCGTAAATCGTGTCTTGTGTCATTGTCAAACTTGTTCAGTTTGGTCTATAATTTAACCATGAATCGACTTACGAACGAACAACGCTTGCAAATTATTGAATTTTACTATCAAAATTCATGCTCGGTTAACGAGAGTGCATCGAGCACTGTTTCCAATTTATGGGCAATTTGGTCGGCCTACTGAGGGAGCTATTCGGAAGCTTGTGACTAAATTTCGAACCCAGTTTACATTATTGGACATTACACCACCAACACGCAGACGTAGAGTGAGGACTGAAGAAAATATTGCGGCTATATCCGCCAGTGTTAGTGATGACCGTGAAATGTCGATTCGCCGCCGTTTGCAGCAATTGGGCCTCTGTTACTCCAGTACGTGGAAAATTTTGCGATTTGGGTGTAAAACCTTATAAGATACGGCTGATGCAAGAATTGAAGCCACACGACCTCCCACAACGTTTACAATTTGGTGAATGGGCGCTGGCAAGGTTGGAGGAAGATCCACATTTTTATCAAAAAATTGTGTTCAGCGACGAAGCTCATTTCTGGTTGAATGGGTCCGTTAACAAGCAAAATTGCCGCATCTGGAGTGAAGACCAGCCAGGAGCATTGCAAGAGCTACCAATGCATCCCGAAAAAATCACTGTTTGGTGTGGATTATGGGCCGGTGGCATCATCTGGCCGTACTTGTTCAAAGACGACAATGGCCGGAACGTAACTGTGAATGGCGAGCGCTACCGTGCGATGATAACAAACTTTTTTTTGCCCAAAATGGAAGAGCTGGACTTGGCTGACATGTGGTTTCAACAAGACGGTGCCACATGCCACACCGCACACGAAACGATGGCCCTATTGAGAGGCGAGTTCGGTGAACAGTTTATCTCACGTTTGGGGCCCGTCAATTGGCCGCCTAGATCGTGTGATTTAACGCCGTTGGACTATTTCTTGTGGGGCCATGTTAAGGCTAATGTCTACAGGGATAAACCAGCAACGATTGACGCACTGGAAGCCAATATTGAAGCATTTATTCGTGAGATACCGGCCGATATGTTGGAGAGAGTGTGCCAAAATTGGACCTTGCGCATGGGCCATCTAAAGCGGAGTCACGGCCAACATTTACATGAAATAATCTGTAAACATTAAATTATATCGACCGTTCTATCGACTCAAATAAAGATAAAATAGTTTCTTCAAGTTTTTTGTGTTTTTTTTTGAAAATCAAATCCTATACCTCTTAAAAAATCACCCGTTGTATTCCATTGAGAGTGGGTTTCATCAAATATTGCGTCTTGCCCATCCTTGTCAGGATATCTGCATCCAAAGTGGTAGATCGACCACTGGGGATTATTTGAAAAGAAGAAGACTGGTGAATGGTAACGTATTTCTTTCTGCTAAACAAATTAATGATGATTTGCTGGCCATGAAACGCACCCAGCCTTTTTTGAAAGCTACAGATCAATATCAATAATTATATGAGTTATTTTATATTTATCCACTGATTGCAGCTTGCTCCTAAAATTATAGGTTCATTTTGTCACGCTTCCAAGATCCTCAAGGTAGTGCACGAGTAAGTTGCCATAATAAAGCGTCTCAAAGGGCATTACGTATAGTTTCTTTTAAATACTTGGAGGAAGCTGTCGAAATCGCAAACCGCTATCTTGGCCAGTTGTATGGAGCTTGGTCACTTTTTTTGTACGTCTAGTCAAGTGTTACAAATTGAATAACGAGAAATTTTACGTTTGGCACTTAGCTTAAAATATTTTTGCTCTTGAATACCAGGTCTCTGTGATGCCAGCAACTAAATTTAACTACTACGCATCAGGTGGTAGCAAAACCTGAACATTTATCAAATGGCGCTTGGTCAAGTTGACCAGATTCAGGTTGACTATTCTGCAGTTTTCGACAACTAATGTTGCATCTGCATTGTTCATTCAAATAATACCTGGACACCTCTAGGGCACGATGTTCTTAGCCTTGTGAGGAAATAACATTAAGTCTAAATAGTTTGGCTTTAAGGTGGTGAAGCAAAACATCACCATACTACAAAACAAACATCGAGACGACCTGAAGACTCAGGTTCTGATGATCGGTAGATCGGTACTGCCACTTTTTTGTCTAACGATTATCGAGAATGTTTTCCCGCTAAGTACCTACTAAATTTCGTCTATCGAGAAATCATCAATAACGGTAGCTAGTGCGAACTGCCTGTTGCTTGTTTTTCGTAGCGAAAACGCTCGTATGGAAACGGCTTAAGAGCCGTGTCGGAAATGATTTATGGTCCGCGGCTGATGCTTTCTGAGCAAAATAGATTGCATTGCAAAGGCGGCTTTAATAAAATCTTGATGCCGACATTGCCATGCCAGCCAGCGAAGGGTTAGACAAGAGGTTTCGTTGAACAATTTTGAAGCGTCGTTTATTTTATGGATTCAATTAATGCCGTCAGAAGAATTTGGCACAGATTTAAGCAGCTATGGATGACATTTTGATGCTAAGACAGTAATGCTTTCGCCCGTCCGTATACAGTTGTTTCATACTTATTGGAAACCATCAACACGATCCCCCCAGGGCAACGAACGAAAGAAGAGCTAATTATCTTTTATTGGAGATATAGCCTATCTATTACCAGATACCAGAATTGGCCACTGCGAGAGCGGAAAGCAGCTATCTGTTGGAACTGTCAAAGTATCTCACTCTGCGTCGATACGAGGCATCATTATGACCGTTTGATGCCGTCAATTCTGGTGATATAATAAGCATGAAATAGCTATACATCGTTGGTTTTTTGTTGGTCGGGTGGACGAAAACAGCATTATTAGTTTCTAAAGGCGAATTGACCATTACCTAACATACTATACTACCACAATTGACAGCACCATGATTGCTTAGCTACTGATGAGCTTGACGCGAACAGAGATACTTTTAACAGTGTGCCAAAAATAAAGGTAACACTGCCACCTATGAGTAGTTCGTCAGTCGGTGTACTAGCAAGGAACTACATTTTTCCGGCATATCTGAAAGGCATCGTCACTCAGCGGTACTAGCAGAAGACATGAACGGCTCCTTGGTAGTACTCGGCCATCCATCGAAACTGGATGAGCGCTAGGGCGGTTCTTGTTAGTCAAGGTGCAGCGCTATGATGTTTGGAACCATTTAAATGAACAAAAATGCACCCCTAAGTGACTCCCAAGTGGAGATATGGAACATTTGCATTCCACAATAGGCCGCAACAGTTGTTATCGTAGCCTGTCAACATTTTCAAAATATGCAAAATTTGATTTACCAATTCTTT